TACCCCAACCCACTTGCTCCCCAAATATTTGTTCTAACTCCTAAACTGCATTCCTTGAAAGAAATTTTGGTGGATTAAATCATTTTGTTCTAGTCACGGACATGGGCCTTTCTTCTTCGTCATGGACTTTATACTCAATGTCATATTGTATATTTCTAGCAAGGGGTGAATAGCTAATAGCTAGATCCCTGCTAACTAGATGAACCGTGAAAAGCACTTTGTGAGAGAGTCACTCTAAATTCTCACAAAGGGCTAGATTACACCATGGATTTGGCACCATTAGCCAGACAGCATCCTGTTTCCAGGTGACTGGGCCCGGCAAGCTGGGACACAGCTTCTCTTAACTTTAGCCAGGGTGGATTCAGTAATGCCAATATTTTCCAACTTTTGGAAAAATAGCCCCAAAGTTGCAGTATTATTCTTACTCAGTTGAACTTCAAGACGACAGCAGATGCTAGAGCCAGGCAGGATTCAGGCTGCCTGCCACAGGGACATACCATGTCTCAACCTGACTCAAGCTTGAGGACACTGGACATTCCCCAATCCTCTTTGCGACAGGGTTTTTATTTAATCGCTGTATACTTTTCTTTTTCTTTTTTTTCTTTCTTTCTTTTTTTTTTTTTTTTTTGAGATGGAGTCTCACTCTGTCACCCAGGCTGGAGTGCATTGGCACAATCTTGGCTCACTGCAACCTCTGCCTCCCAGGTTCAAGCGATTCTCCTGCTTCAGCCTCCCGAGTTGCTGGGACTGTAGGCATGCACCACAATGCCCAATTAATTTTTGTATTTTTAGTAGAAACGGAGTTTCGCAATGTTGGCCAGGCTGGTCTCAAACTCTTGACCTCAGGCGATCTGCCCACCTTGGCCTCCCAAAGTGCTGGGATTACAGGCATGAGCCACTGTGCCCAGCCGGGTTTTTATTTAGAAACACAATATATTGATGGTTTTCAAAGTGCATGTGTCCCCTGCTCTTCTAATGGGAACAGTTTGGGGATTGGACATAGTGTTTGAAGTGGAATCAGGAGTGATTCTGGAGAGGCCCCATCCCACTCTCATGCAGGGTCCCTTTACTGCTTAGGAAATTGTAGAAATATTCAGTGCTCCAGTCATTTGAAACTGTGCCTTTGAAGCCTCGGTAAATTCAGAAAAGTCTTGATGGGGGAAGAGGGGCAGCTGCTCTACTTAGGTTGGCATAAGATTTAATGTGGACCAAATGTTCTGTTACTAAAAGTTTGAAACCCACCGTAATACACTATACAAATGTTATGAGGTCCTACATAATATTGAGAGGTGAAGCCAGCTAGACTTTCTGGGTCAGGTGGGGACTTGGAGAACTTTTGTGTCTTACAAGAGGATTGTAAAATTCATCAATCAGCACTCTGTAGCTAGGATTGTAAAACGCACCAATCAGTGCTCTGTAGCTAGCAAGGGGATTGTAAAATGCACCAATCAGTGCTCTGTAAAACGCACCAATCAGCGCTCTGTAAAATGCACCAATCAGTGCTCTGTAAAATGCACTGATCAGCAGGACCCTAAAAGTAGCCAATTGCAGGGAGGATTGAAAAACGGGCATTCTGATAGGACAGAAACAGAACATGGGAGGAGACGAATAAACCATGAAAGCTGGCCACCCCCCAGCCAGCAGTGGAAACTCGCTCAGGTCCCCTTCCACATTGTGGAATCCTTGTTCTTTCGCTTTTCATAATAAATCTTGCTGCTACTCACTGTTTGGGTCTGTGCCACCTTTAAGAGCTGTAACACTAACCGCGAAGGTCCGTGGCTTCATTCTTGAAGTCAGTGAGACCACGAACCCACCGGCAGGAACCAACTCTGGACACAATATGTCCGTATTCTATACTGTGTACATCATTGTAAATGTAAACTGCACATCAGCATCTCCCCATCCTCCCCTTTGAGCTTTTCCAAATAGTTTGCTTACAGAATGTGGAATTTACTGATGGTCCCATGAGAAAGCAAGAAGAGAAGCTCTTATAGCACAGTAAGTTGCTTAAAGATTGCCATTAGCCCGGCCACTTCTCATTTCTCCTTTCCACTGAGCAGCTCTGGACATCGCAGCACACAACCTTGGTGGCTCCTCTCTCCCTTCCTCTGTAGAACAATTACACTCTGGCCCAGCCTGGCACACCCCCAGGCTCCTTGTTGCTCGGTTCTGTGCTTAACAAAACACCATCTTCTCAAAAGAACCTCCAAATCTCTGCTCTCTGGGAAGCCTCCTTCACCCCAGTCAAGTGGTTTGTGAAGGGGATTCCTTCAAACAGTTTTCTAAAGACGGGTCTTGGCAATGCAATCACCACCATCATTAGGAACCAACATTTCCAGATGTTATGGACTGAATTGTATCTTCCCCAAATTCACATGTTCAAGACCCAACCCCTAGTGTCTCAGAATGGGACTGTATTTGGAGATAAGGCCTTTATCAAGGTGATTAAGGTAAAACGGGGTCATATGGGTGAGCCCTAATGACCAACATAACTGATGTTTTTTTGTTTTATGTGTTTTGTTTTGTTTTGTTTTGGAGACAGGGTCTCACTCTGTCACCCAGGCTGGAGTGCAGTGGTGTAATCACGGCTCACTGCAGCCTCCACTTCCCAGGCTCAAGTGATCCTCCCACCTCAGCCTCTGGAGTAGCTGGGATTACAGGTGCATGCCACCACACCCGGCTACTTTTGATTTGTTATTTTTTATAGGGATGAGTTCTCTTTATGTTGCCCATGCTGGTCTTGAACTGCTGGGCTCAAGCAATTATCTCACCTTGGCCTCTCAATGTGTTGGGATTATAGGCGTGCGCCACCACACCCAGTCATGAGTGATGTCTCTATAAGAGGAGGAGTTTGGGACACAGACGCGCACAGAAGGGAGAGCACATAAAGACACCAGAAGACAGCCATCTATCTACAAGCCACAGCGAAGCCTCAGGAGAAACCAACACTGCGGATACCTTGATATTACATTTGGAATAAAATGTATTGAGATAAAACATTTCTGTTGTTTAAGCCACTCAGTCTAGGGCGCTTTGTTACGGCAAAGCACTCAGGCAAACCAATATGCCACGTCTCTGGCTCTCTGCCAAGTCTCGGTGACTTTCTCTGACATGCAGAATGTGCTCGGTGATACACCAGAAGAACAGAAATCACACTTAGAATCCAGCTCCTTCCTGGTCTGGTCCATCACAGGCCTTTCCAACTTCACAGGCCACTCCCCCGTCACTGGCCACTGTTCCACGGGAAAACACACCCAGCTTGTTCCTACTACTGGCCCTGCACTTGCCAAGCCCTCTGGTGGCTCTGTTTTCTTCCTGCCTTGTTCTTGCTTGTTATTGAGGTTTGGCGGAAACACCAGTGCTTCAGAGAGGACTTTTTGGGCACCCATTCCCCCAAACTCATTTTCTGTCTCATCACTGCATGTGTTCATGGAGTGTAACTCAATCTTTCCTTGCTCACTTATTCATTTACCCAATTACTGCATCTGTCCACATGAGAGTTTCGTGAGAGCAGAAATCGTGCCAGTTGGACGTTTTCTGTTGCTGCTGTAACAAATTAATGCAAATTTTGTGGCTTGAAACAATACATATATATATATAAAATTTTTTTTGAAATGGAGTTTCACTTTTGTTGCTCAGGCTGGAGTGCAATGGCACAATCTTGGCTCACTGCAACCTCTCTACCTCCTGGGTTCAAGCGATTCTCCTACCTCAGCCTCCCGAGTAGCTGGGATTACGGGCATGTGCCATCATGCCCAGCTAATTGTTTGTATTTTTAGTAGAGACAGGGTTTCTCTACGTTGGTCAGACTGGTCTCAAACTCCCGACCTCAGGTGATCCACCTACCTTGGCCTCCCAAAGTGCTGGGATTACAGGCATGCACCACAGCGCCCCCAGCCAAAACAATACAGATATATTATCTTATAGTTCTGTAGGTCAGAAGTGCAACACAGGTCTAAGTTGCATTCCTTTCTAGAAGCTCTAGGGGAGAATCTGTTTTTTTCTTCTTTTGTCAGCTTCTAGATGCTACCTACATTCCTTAGCTGTGACTTTTTGCTCCTTCTTCAAAGCCATTGCCTCTCTCTCTGACCATAGCCGGGAAAGTTTCTTTGCCTTCATCCCCACATGATTACATTGGACCCACTTACATAATCAGAATAATCTCCCCTTCCAAGGTCCTTAGCCTTAATTGCATCTCACAATCCCTTTTGCCATGTAAGGTTACATATTCACTAACTCCAGGGATTAAGACATGGACATCTCTGGGGTGCATTATTCTGACCATCATATCTGTTTTTTCCCTTTATATGTCTAGTGAGTAGAACAGACCAGGAAATTAGCAGGTGTTCATTGACTTTGCTGGGTAAATGAAAAGCTACCATTTATTGTGCAGATATGAGGCACTGGGCAGATGCAAGGTGCTCTATGTGTGTTTTCTCATTTGCTCTGTACCATAACCCTCGGGGGTAGAGTTTACCCCCATTTTATAGCCCCATTTACTAAGGCTCAGAGAGGTGACATGACTTACCCAGGGCCATCCAGTTAGTAAGTAGCAGAGCTGGGATTTGAACTTTTACCTTTCTGCCTCCAAAACCCAAAGTCTATACGCCCCTCTTTCACAGCTCAGGGAGGACGTCTCAAGCCTGGGTTTGTTGTACCCACAGTATCTTACTTACATCTGCTCACCTTGCCATGTCAGCACCGCCTGTTTCAAAGGCAGATTAAATATTGCTTAGGCTGGCCAGGCACAGTGGCTCACGTCTGTAATCCCAGCACTTTGGGAGCCTGAGATGGGTGGATCACTTGAGGTCAGGAGTTTGAGACCAGCCTGGCCAACATGGTGAAACCCTGTCTTCACTAAAAATACAAAAATTAGCTGGGCGTGGTTGCACACGCCTGCAATCCCAGCTACTTGGGAGGCTGAGGCAGGAGAATCTCTTGAACCCGGGATGCAGAGGTTGCAGTGAGCCAAGATGGCACCATTGCACTCCGGACTGGGTGATAAGAGCAAAACTCTGTCTCATAAAAAAAAATAATAATAATAAAAACGATTGCTTAAGGCCTGTCTGCCTCTCTTTCAAAGGGAAAATCCCTCAGCTTTTTAAAATAAATTAAATCCTGTCAACGAGCGATGAGGGTTGATTAGATGAGATTGGGGGAAGAAGCCCTCCTTCTCAATGAGTGGTCCAGAAACCAGCAGCATGGGCGTCCCATGGGAGTGGTCGGAAATGCTGACGCTGAGGGCCCTGAACTGCTGAGTCAAGCTCTTCTAATGATCCGTAAGTGGTCTGCACACACAACATGCCTCAGAGAAGCCCTGCTGGGAGGCACCCACGCAGACCCAGACACTCACTGACCATGGCGGGAGGTGGCACCTATTATTTTTATGATGAGAGGGAACCTCAAACTCTACTGTGATGTAAGTGGTCTCAAAGTCCCTTTGAAGTCACCATTTTATCTAAATCAGAAATAGAGAGGAAAAAAATAAGAAATGGCCAGCTTAGAAAGACTCAAATTCTTTTGGGGGGAAAAAATACCAGGAAGAAAGAAAAGAAAAATACATTGTTTCCTTGGCCATCTGTGTGAAGAAATAACAAAACCACCCTTGACATACCAGCAGGAAAGAACACTGGCGAGCTTTACTTGACAGAATTATTAGAAACGCCTCTTCCTGGTTCAGGGGAAAAAAAAATTCCAAATAGGTTTGTAAGATTTTTTTCCCTAGCGTGCTTGCAACTCCCAGTAAAGCCAACAACCAGTTTTCAAAACCTTTTGATTCTACTCATCCCGTGGTTAATAATTTCCAGTTTACCCAGCAGGCTACATAACATCCCCTTTCCTGGGAAATAATTTCTGTGTCCTGGATGGCAGTGAGCTGGTCCCCTTAGCAGCTGAGCTCCTCCTCCAGCCCTGTGGCTGCCTCCTCTCCAACAGGGACCTTCCTGGTGGGTATCTGGAACAGTGACTTAGTGTTCTGCAAAGGGGAGAGGGAAAAAGAGAGGGCTGTCTCCCAGAAGGGTGAGCCTCTTCTTTAATCATCTGGCGCTGAGAAGAATTTTCTCCCTGTTTCCTGGGAAATAGTTGATAAAGGACATTTTGTCTGCTGCTGTTTATGTATACCTAGGCCGAACAAGTCCCAAAACTCTACCCTCCCCTGCCCCCTCCAGAGCTGGTACTTTGAAAACATAGGACAATAATGAAAGCAGGCAGTCTGATACGGGCCTGGCACCCCGTCTCCCGTTTCCTCCTGCCCGCTGCTGCGGCCAGCTTTACGCCGGCTGCAACCACCAGGGACAGGTTGGCTTCTCCACCCTTGATGGCCCCGAGAAATATTTCTTTTAGGGCATGGCAGAAGGGGAATTTGGGGAAGGTGGGACCCTCCCTGCAGCCGATAGCACGGGCCCCATCCCTCCCCCCATGCAAATCTTTGGCCAGCAGCCTTGGTATCAGCAAACCTTGCCGAGATAGGGAGTGCCGTGAAGGGCTCGGTGAGTTTCTGACAATCCTCTCCCCTGTTTATCTGAATGGGCCCAAGGGCTGCAAAACAAACCGGCAAACACCAGGGTGTCCCTGAGAGTATAGCTGCGCTTCCTGTTTACAGGCTCAGGGTGAGAAGCCCCTGGGACCCACTCTGCCTGTGTCCATTTCTTTCTGCTTCCTCTGAGATCCCCGATGTGGGAGGGCAAAGGGTTTCCCTCCTGCCGCCTGGAAAAATAATACGCAGGCGGGGAACATGAGCTTGCCTGTGAAGGCTGCTCAAAACAACACACTTGCAATTTGGGGTTTGTGACTAAGGTTGATTCGAACCTGGGTCTTCTGGTCCCTCTGGGAGTATCCTAGACCCCGTGAGACAAACCACTTTGGGACTCGATGATGGTAGGGAGTGGGGAATGGGAAAGGCACCTGTAAAGGCGTAAATAGCTGGGTCCTGCCACCCCACCCATCCTCACACAACTCTCGCCCCACCCCACCCCACCCTACCCACCCTCACCCCCACCGTCACCCCACTCCTCTTGCTGTGTGTCCCTTGCTTCCCATGTTTCCCTGTCCTGGACCAAAGTGAAGCAACTGGGTATTCCCAGCAAAGGGCTTCCTACCTTCAGCACCAGTGGTGACACCAGAGGCGGATTCCAGGAATACCTGAATGACCTGGAACACATTCTGTCCCGGCAGGAGGCGGGGGGGGGGCACTGCCCCCAGGGGACGGCCGAGCTATCTGGGGGTTAGGACTCTCTAGCTTGTTGCAGGGGTGTCACAGAGCCTTGCTACTGAAGGTGTGTCTAGGGACCAGCAGTATTGTCCTCCCCTGGGAGCTGGTAAGAAACGTGGTCTCACACCTTGTCCCAGAGCCACTGCATGAGAAGCTGCAGTTTAGCAGACGCCCCAGGTGACTCCTGCGCACATTAAAGTTGGAGAAGTACTGCTTTAGAGGGCCCGTCCCTCTGTCCTCATTATGAGGATGACTGTGCTGACTTTGGACAGCTTGTGCTTTTTAAAATCTCATGGGCATAAATGACTCTTTGTGACTGATCTTGTTTCTTTCTTTGCTAAGAAAAGCAGGTTTAATTTGATGTAAGTATCGGCTTATTTGGTATGCCACATATCGGAGACCGAATAAGTACGTGCCTAAGTGAAGGATTTCATAGCTAAATTCGGTATGTCTGACACCTGGAAATTCAAACACCAGAGGGGCCAGGCAGGTGACAAAGATGAATGAAGTAGGCTGGGTGGGCCAGTGAGGACTGGACAGCCAGTGACCTGGTGGAAGGGGCAGCAGCTACTCCACCCCAGCCCATTCTTGTCATTCAGGGACCAGGCTCAGGGTTGCCAGATCCCAATATCTTCAAGAGAAGCCTGAAGTTGAATTTTTATGAAATCACCCAACATTGAAATATCGGCAATTAATCAAAACATTAAAAAAAAAAAAAAAAAAACCCACAAGGCCAGGCACTGTGGCTCCCGCCTGTAATCCTAGCACTTTGGGAGGCCGAGGCAGGTGGATCACTTGAGGTCAGGAGTTTGAGACCAGCCTGGCCAAACATGGTGAAACCTTATCTCTACTAAAAATACAAAAATTAGCTGGGCATGGTGGTGCATGCCTGTAGTCCCAGTTACTCAGGAAGCTGAGGCAGAAGAATTGCTTGAACCCAGGAGGTGGAGGTTGCAGTGAGCCAAGATCACCCCACTTTACTCCAGCCTGGGTGACAGCCTAAGCCTCCGTCTCAAAACAACAACAGCAGAAAAAAAAAAAAAAAAAGAAAGAAAGAAAAGAAAGAAAAAAAGAAAAGAAAATCCCCTCCTATGACCCAGGCTTTATGCTGAGACTATGGATAAAACCATGAACAAGACAGACACAGTCCCTACCCTCAAAGAGTATGCAAGCTGGAAAATGGGACAGAGAGACCAGGAAGGTGGGAATGGCATTTCTTCAGGGAGACCTGCCTGTGCAAAGGCCCTGAGGTGCAAACAGTACATTGTAGATGGGGAGCTACAACCAGGTCAGTGCTGGGGAGTTGAATCATGATTGAAGGAGGGGTGAAAGATAAGACTGAAAAGGGAGGAAGTGGCAGGTGATAATGGCATGTACTGCACATGCAATTAAAGAGTTTGAACTAGGTCCTGGAAGGGTCTGTCCTGGAAGGGTCTGTCCTGGAAGGGTCATCAGTGTGAGGATGACATGGCTGGAACTCAGTTTTCCTGAATTCACACCAGCTATTGAGAGGGGAATGGATTTATTGAGTGGGGAGTTGGAAAGGTATCAGAAGTCCGGAGAGCAGTCAGGGGAGACTTGGGCAGTGGCCCAGGAACAAGGTGGTGAAGGCCTGAACTGGGGCATTGTACAGGAATGGGAGGCGGGTGTGTATTTGAGGGCTGCGCAGGAGTTAAAATCAGCAAGATGTTCCCTACTTGATGGGGACCATTGGGGAGGGAGCGGAGCCAGAGCTTATGGCCTGGGTGCCTGATGGACAAGGATTGCTGCAGCTGGGGCGTCTGGGGGAGGAAGATTGGACATGGGGCTTCCTTGAGCCCTCTCTGGAAGTGAGATGCAGACAGCAGCGTACTGGAGTCCTACTCAGTGAGGGGTCAAGGGCCAAGCTGAAAACCAGGACCTTCTGAAACACAGTTCTTTTTAGTAATTTGCCCCAGCTTTGTGGCTTCTCCACCCTGTTCTCTTCTCCCCGTGAGTTCTTTGTTTTTGTGGGTTGTCATATTACAGTCCATGGATTTTTGGGCCAGCCTGTATATGAGGAAAATAGTAGTTTCCTCCTCACAGAGTGCTGGTGAGATTAAATGAGATAATACATTAAAAGCACGCAGCACGGTGTCTGGCTGTAGGAAGCTCCCATGATCACACCACCACATGTAATGTTAATGTCATCATCATTAGCTGTGATTATTACTGTGATTATTAACATTAGTTATCATTATTATTGTAATTATGCACGAATGTGACCTACAAGGCCTCCTGCCACATGTGGCCCTTAGTTGTGGCCTCTTTCCCTGCCAACCTCAGGCCTGCTCGTATCTGTGGGAGGCAGTGGCTAGCAGTGGTTATGAGCATGGCCTGTGAAATCACAGCCTGCCTGGGTTCAAATGCCAGCTCCACTTCTTACTATGAGAGTGACCTCGGCCAAGTCACTTCATGCTTCTGAGCCTCAGGTAGGTTTCCCATCTGATGAAGGGGAAGATAGATGTATCTTGCTGTGAAGATAAAATGAGATAAATTGTCAAAGTACTCAGTGCACTTCCTGGCAGGTCGTAGGTGTTCCTTTATCATGTACTCTTATTCTCCAGGACACCGTCACCAACCCGTTTGGCTGGCATGCACTCTCAAATCTACTGCCCCTAGCAATAGGATGCAGCTCAAGTTCACTAAAGTGACTTACGAGCTGCTGGCAGTGGGCTGAGTGTTGACACTGCTTCCCGCCACTGGAAAAAAAGATATGCCCGCATCCAGATCTCAGGAACTGGTGGATGTGACCTTATTTGGAAAAGGGGTCTTTGCAGATGTAATTAAGTTAAGGATCTTGAGATACAATCATCCCGGATTATTCGTGTGGTCCCTAAATCCAATGACAAGTGTCCTTATAATAGACACAGAGAGGAGAAGCCTGACAGGAGAAGCAGAGATAACGACTGGAGACAGGGATTGGAGAGATGCAGTCACAAGCCAAGGGATGCCAACAAGCACCAGAAGCTGGAGGAGGAAGGAAGGATTTTTCCCTGGAGTCTGCAAAGGGAGTGTAGCCCCACACACACTTAAACTTTGGACTTCTGGTCTCTGGAATGCTTCGATAATAAATGGTTGTTTGAAGCTACCCAGTTTGTGGTAGTTTGTCACAGCAGACACAGCAAACAAATCCAGTGCCCTCCACCCTTTCACCCTGAAACCACATGAGGACTGGGTGGAGTAGGCAGGCAGCCTTGGCTATCCCCATTTTACAGAGAGGGGACACTGAGGCTCAGAGAGGCAGAAGGAGCTGCTTGAGCCACATAGCGAGTGAGTTTCACCAGTGGCAAGCTTGGAACCTGGCTCTCCTGAGTCGTCCTCCATGCATTGTCCTTTCTGGAACATTCTGCCAGCCTCCCTGCACCAGGCACTGGTGGCCAGTGAGCTGTGATTGTCTCTGTAACCAGGACAGGTTTGCAGGGTCCCCAAGCAGCTTCTCCCAATACCAGGCAAATGGTTGATAGGTATGAGGGCCCATCTGAGAACATGGGAAGGAGCAGCTATCACAGGGGATCAGGCCCGCCTGATTTCATTAGCACCTAGTCCCACTACATAGCTCAAAGAGATGTCCCTCCCTCCCTCCCTCCCTCCCTCCCTCCCTCCCTTCCTTCCTTCCTTCCTTCCTTCCTTCCTTCCTTCCTTCCTTCCTTCCTTCCTTCCTTCCTCTCTCTCCCTCCCTCCCTCCCTCCCTCCCTCCCTCCCTCCCTCTCTCTC